CACCCACAGCACATTCTCAACAGCTACTTCTGGACGCGCCCACCTTGCGAGCAAGAGATACGATCACCTACGCAATCATTGCTTAACTGCCAGGTCAAAATGACATCATACTGATCCTGTTTGCTGCGCCTTTTCCCTACCAGGGAGTGTCAGCATGTCCCCATGCTCCTGGGCTGTTTGTGGTTCCTCCTTCATGCAAGCCCACTCTCCACGGACCAGTTCCACACTGGCTGGATATTAGGTATGTCAAGGGGACACTGCCGGTACTTGCCCAGGGCTCTAGAAAGGCTTCGGGTGGATAGAGCTCCACTGGGTGCCCCAGGCTGTGGTTTTTTAATCTGCCTCATGGCAGAGACTGGGCTGAAATGCATCTCCTTTGGGGTCAAACAGCAAGGCAGATGGTGACACGCGGGCGAGTGTCAGATGAAGGCCGAAGTGCAGCAGAGCTTCGGAGCGGGTCTGGTACTTGGGGCTCCACAGACAGTTACAGGGGTGGCCAAATGCTCAGAAGAAATGCAGGCCAGAGAGGTGAAGCTGGGCCTTCTTCTCAGGGGCCTCCTTAGGTGCACGACCTGATAGCTCACAAAGGCAGGAGACAGCTGCTCGGTGCCCACACAGGAGGAGCCCTGTCCTCGGGGAACCATGCATGGGGTGGACGATTTTTTTTCAGGTAACTGCTGCTGACAGTGAAAAGGATATAAATCGGTACAACTTTGGGGAGGCAATTTGGCAATGCCCATAAAGACCCTAAAAATGACCAAAACCAACCCAGGAATGCTTGTAAGCTTTTAAAGCTCTGTAGGCAATTCTGATCCTCTCCTATTAAAGAGAATCGCTGTCCTACACGGACTATTATGCAACCATCAAAATGATATTTATAGCACTTTTAGAAGGATAAGAATGGGCTTGATTTTCATGCTTAATAAAAAAGCAAAGCACATAAAAACTTTAAATACATTTAAAGAAAACTGAAAATGACATCAAAATAGTAACCTCAACTGAGTCATTCATTCTTTTATTTCACACATGTTTTTGAACATTAAACTGTGGTCTAGGCCAGCAGTTTTTAAACTTTTTGATCTCAAGGTCCCTTTATATTCTTAAAAATTATTCAGAAACACAAAAAGGTTTTGTTTATATGGGCTATGTCTGTTGCTATTTACCATATCAAAGCTAAAATTTATCATTTTAGAAATATTTATTCATTAATTCCTTTCTTAAAGAAATAATAAATACACAACATGTTAATACAAAGAACATATAGAGCAGTATTGTTTTACATTTTTGCAAATCTCTGTAAGTCCAGCTTAATGGAAGACAGCTGGATTCTCCTATTTGCTTCTGTGTTCAATTTGCTGTGCTATCACACTTCACGAAGACTCCTGAAAATTCTGCAGTAGAGTCATGAGAATGAAAGTGAAGAAGGCAAAAAACAGCTTAGCTATTTTGAAACTAGCTTTGACTCAGAACTGAAAAAAAATAATGTTGACTTCAATGGACCCCTGAAAAAGTCCTAAAGTGTGTATATACACACATTTTAGTATATATTTTAAATAAATGAATCATACTCTACATAATGTATGATTATACTTGCTTTTTTCATTTGACCATGAATTGTGGACATTTATTTCAAAATATATATGTGTATATATATGTATACATACATTTACATATAACAATGTATGTATATGCATATACAGTCATGTACGCATATATATATGCACACACAGGTTATTTTTAATGACTGCATTTATTCCATTCTGTGGCTGTGTCCTAATTTAATGAACCAGTTCTCTACTCCTGGGCATCAATTCTTAGCAAGTATCCTTTCACTTTACACACTAGTCTGGTTAACTTTTAAGATAAATTGCTGAATCAACCAATATCACAGTTTCTATCTTTTTTCATATTTTCATGCACTTTCCTAAAGTGCATGTATCCAAGTGCATACTTATCCAAGTATGACCAGTTTTGCCTCAAATGTGAAAAATCCTGCAGACGAAGAGGAAAAGTCACAGCTCTGGTGGACCTTCACCCCCACTCCGGAAGGGGACCCATAGGCAGTGTGTACAGTCTTTTTAAGCGATGCTTATTGGTCAGTGATTGATTGATTTCCTGAATATAAAAGCAACATGAGGGAGTTTTTTTTAATGAGGATTGGTTAAATAAACAGTAATGCATTATGCCAAGCCAGCTTTGTACTGAAAGAGAAGAGGAGAGCAGAAAAGCGCCTCCCCTCTTACATTATACTGAACACTGACACAGGATTGGTTGGATAAGGTACAAAGACTTAAACATAGCCTCTTCCTTATCCTGACATCCTTGCGTGTATTCGAGTAACCATTCCACAAACATTTAGTGAGTGCCAACGCCTGCAAGGCAGGACTGGAGAAGGAGATGAAAGATCTACCTAGGGGCATGTGGAGGGGATAAAGGCACAGAGTGGCCAGACGTCGGAGGTAAAGCTCAGAGCCACAAGCTTTACACCAGGTCAGGGCTCCCTGTGTGGACTTTGAGGTCAAGGTGCGAAGGCGAGAGCTGACGTCAGGGGAGGCAGGAGACCCCAGCTCAGAGGACGGGACAAGGTCAGCCAGAAACCAGCACCCCCAGGGCACAAAGAGCAGAGCGTGGCTGTGGGAGAACTCCCTGTCGCCAAGATCCTTGTTTTCACGTGCCTTGTTGGCCCAGGTTCAAAGGGTTGATAAAACCAGAGTCGAAAGAGGTTTGAGGGACCAGGAAATGGTGATCCCTGGTGGCTGGACTCTACTGGAAACCACCTGGGAGGGTGTTTTGGCAACATCCCATAAAAGACAAAGCGTGGCTACTTTGACAACGCACGCACCCCAACTCCAGCCAGAGGCCAGCTCACAAACAGCCATGTGGATGCGGGCTCAGTAGATGTCTGTCTCAGCATTGTTTGTGCTGGTGAAACCTCGACAACCATCGCGGTGTCTGCACATCCAACGGAGAGCCCCGCAGCCCTGAGCAAGGAGGCCGCCTGTGTGCTCACAGGGTGAAAACAACAGGCAAGCCGGGAAGGGACCTGTTTGTGCACGAAGCAGCACGTGCACATGTGTGTGAGGGTGTGTGTGCGTGGGTTAGGCAGCACGTGCACATGTGTGTGAGGGTGTGTGTGCGTGGGTTAGGCAGCACGTGCACATGTGTGTGAGGGTGTGTGTGCGTGGGTTAGGCCCGGGTGAGTCTGGAAGGCGGTATCAAGCTGCACATGGCAGTTTCCTCAAGGGAGGGAGCATTGGCTCTTATTTCATATGGCTTCACATTTTACAAGGAAGACTTTTGACTTTTATTTACTTTAAAACAATCGCTTGAAAGGAAAGGACTGAGGAGCTCCGTGTTAGGCGAATCAAGCATTCCCAGGGGACCACCGGGGTCCAGGTGGGCTAGTCACCTCTGTCCAGGTGGCAGCGGACAAGAAGTGGTGGCTCACATCTCTCTCCAGGTGGGGCCCCCGAGGGCTGGAGGAGTGACGTGAGTGAGCTCATCCCTGGAACATGATGTCGTAGAAACTAGGAGACGTGTCTCTAGGCAGCAGGGATCGGGCCCTCAGGGGACAGAGGGTGCGGAGACCCACCGAGGTGAAGCGGGAGCAGTTCTGGGCTCCCTAGACCCCACACACCAGAAAAATCTGAATCCATCACAATCACAGGTTCTTCAGAACAACTCATGTTGTTTGGTTTTGTTTTCATTCCCAATCATAAAATTGACCTGCTGTAGAAAATTTTTTTCTACGTCCAAGAACTAATAATGCATACAGCCTTTTACAAAGTTCCTTATGTGTACACAGCCTCATATTCTGAGCATACATACTGAAAACTGACATAAATGTACTCAGAGGAAAATAGATAAAGTTAGACAGTTAGGGAAAGAGACCTGAGAACTATCACATGAAAAAAGCAAATTCAAAGGGGTTTACCTAGCATGATTCCTATGTATAAATTTTACTTGCACATTGGTTTATGCATAACTGTCTTTTTATAAGTATTAAAGCCATGAGTGCCAATTATCCTTCTAGAAATGTGGAAGGAGCAAAGATTTCATGTGCATTTTGTTTACATTTTCTAAACTCAAATATATTTCTTTTGTTGTTGTTGCTGTTGTTATTTAGTTGCTAGGTTATGTCCGATTCTTTGTGACCCCGTAAACGTTAGCCCATCAGGCTCCTCTGTCCATGGGGTTTTCCAGGCAAGAATACTAGAGTGGGTTGCCAGTTCCTTTTTCAGGAGATCGTCTCGACCTAGGGATCAAACCCGGGTCTCCTGTATTGGCAGGTGGATTCTTTACCACCGTGCCACTGGGGAAGCACCATATATTGCTTTTAAATTTCTTTTTTTTCATGTCAACAGAGGTTATCTAGGTTCTGGAATGATGAGATATTTCATTTCTCCCTTGTATTTATCTCAAATTTTAAACATGAATAAATTCCACAGAATAAAATCAAAGTTAAAACTTAATGCTCTTAAAAGAATTTGGAAAATACAAAATGGCATATAGGGAAAAGCAGGAATCACTGAGGATCCACATATTCTTGGATAAGTGCTGTTCACCAGTGGAATCAACTTCTTCCACATGTTTTATGTGTGGAGAGATGCACGTGTGTTTTTAAACTGTAGTAACCACAGCCTTTACAAAGCTCTAGAATCTTCTTTCTGTGCATGCACCACCAAATCATGAGCCAGTGTCTTGATTACTGACGCAATGCGTTCAGTGACCGTCACAGTACTTCTACTATAAATGTGGGCCCATGTACTCCTGGGCAAATGCTCTGTGCAGGTCCTCAGTCACTTCTGCCTCCTTGAGGTGAAGGCCACAGGCATACCTGTGAGAGGGGACTCCCTCTCACCCCCGGGGACAGCTCGGGTCCATGTCAGCACCTGCTTCCTGACACCTGCATCCAACCGTGGTCTCATTGCCACTGGCACCTAATAGCATCTCATTTCATTAAGCCTCAAAAGGCATGAAGCATAACAGTGTTTTGCTAGGAACTGAGAACTGTGCTCTACCTACCTGCCACACTTCAGACTATTTTCCCGGACCCCAGTGGTCCAGAGCAGAGCTTTGTCGAGAAGCAGCAGCAGAAGCTCGTCAGGTTCTGCTGGCATCTCTCAGACTCCCCCCGGGTTTCAGAGTACCTGATCTGCTCCCCGACTGCCCACCCCAGCACTCACACAGGCCCACACGCACACGGGGCCCTCGGTCCGACATTTCTGCGAGTAAACACCGCCCCTCGAGCCCAGTTCTCGCCTCACAAGCCGGGGCTTATCCTGAGAGCTCAGTGAGGCCGCAGACAGTTTGGAAAACAGCATCGATGCCCATGTGATGTTGGTTTCATTCTTGGTCAGCTTTATTCCTCCACCCATGGTGTTTCCCAACACTTTAAATCCCTTTATGTGATCGGCAAAGATCAGAGTTACGACTCCATGAGGTCGCCCCTGCTCTGGGCAGAGGTCAAATCTCCTTCCAGGGCTGAGTGTAAACAGTGAACAGGGTCTTTCCTGCTGTTCTGGTGACTGTGGGCGCCTCCGCCGCTCTGTCGGACTTCAGGGCAGCACCATCTCCCAGCCCTCCACGGAAGATGACAGCCGGCCTGCAGCCAAATCACACATGACAACAAATCGCCCACTCAGGCCACCGCGGACATCACTCTCAGGAGAGGGCAGCCTACCCACGCCTCAGCGATGGCGTGCTCCTCAGAGGAAGCGAATCACAAAGTTGATGATCGCTCGTCTTCTCATCAAATTCGATTCAGAGACGTTCACAACCACACATCAGGATGGTCCTTTCAAGGCTGACTTGTATTTTAAGAAGTCATTAGGGTGACTAATTTAGAAATAGCATTCATCAAGTCTCAAGTTTTCAAACGACTTGCTTTCCTTATAAAAATCACACCCATGCTACTGAAATTAAGTCCCCATGATGTATGTGAAATTTATTTCTGAATTGTGTCTAGTTTTATGGGCAAAAATAATCAAGAAAAGCCACCGGCTACAAAAACTGCAAACAAAATGAACCTTTAAAAAGCTAATGACTTAAGGGTGGTTGTACAGATGTATAAAGTATGTCGGGGGTTTACACTATTTGTCATTAACACATATTCTGAAAGCTTCGCTAATATAATGTGACACAAAATTAGTCAAACACAATTCATGCAATATTGTTTAATTTTACTCCTCATTTAACTTGGTTTTAAGCAAAATCATTATGTCACATGATAATGTTCACTTGAACAAGAAATATTTCATACTGGTCGCTGCCTTTAGAAATGAGTTATTAGGGGCTCCATGCTGAACACATTCTTAACTATGAAAACTATAAAGCTAATAGTTTAATCATATTTTGACACCATCTACATACTTTATGCATTATTTACAAGAAAGATATAAAAATGAAACCACTGAATATCTCACACAATACTTCACAGTCATAGTTAACTGGTTAAAAATATAACACATTCATCTTCCAGAGACTTTATATTTGCATATAGATATTTGCATACCATGTTGCGATGTGCTGTTAATGTAAAATTTAACCTTTGTTCTTTCTCTCTGATGTGCAAGGTACACTCATTAAGTTAAAAATAATGGCAAAAATAAGTCTTCTGGTGATATACATTTCATAAATTATTCCCCAGAGCAGCAAGGAAAGGTAAAATGTGGGTGGGAAAATGTTTAATTGAGTTAATTCCTCATTTTCTATATTTTTATTTTACAACTCAGAGACAGAGCAATTTGACTAGTATATGTCAACCCTATGAATTGCAAAGGACCTCGTCTCAATTACTCAAGGTGTCAACCCTCTTAATCCTGTATTTAAACAATTCCACATTTCAGGACCGAGACGAAAGCACAGCTTCCATTGCACACCTGTTAGATGGGTGGCCACTGATCACCAGAGGGAATGCGTAAGTGCTGCGTGCAAAACACGTGGCAGGACAGTTCAACGTTTGGGCAGAGCAGAGGAGGGTGTAGCTTGCATTAGGTTATAACATGCACGTCAATTTCCAATAAAGCCCGTACATGAATTTCTACAGAAGAGAGAAAAGGATTTAGAAATCTGGTAAGAGACCGTTACTAAATACCTAAACCCCAAGTCTCTTTTATCCTGTTGGCACAATCTGCATCTCAGATGTATTGCTGAACCAAAAACAAAATAGATGAAGAAACCCAGCCAAGCCAGAATACACACATAGATATGAGAACAGTGCAGTGGTTCCCAGAGGGGAAGGTCAGGGGAGGATGGAAGAAGTAAAACTAAATGGCGGTGGGTAGAAGCTAAATTCTGGTGGTGAGCTCACTGGAAGGTATACAGTAGAACTATAATGTGTATGTGTGGAATTGTTTTAGAGTGTTTTTAATTAGAGGATAATTGCTTTGCAGTGTTGCGTTGGTTTCTGCCATGCAGCAATCTGAACCAGTTCCATGCACACATATATACATCACCCGCCTCTTGAGCCTGCCTCCCATTCCCCCCATCCCACCCCTCTAGGTTGTCACACAAGGAACTTATAATGTTATAAACAATGTCACCACCATAAAAAAATATATTTCAATTAATTCACTGATGCACTGCTAAAGTAGACTCCCTATCTGAAGTCACATGGAGGCCAGACAGGGTCCAGATACGGCTCTTGGAAGACAAAGAAAAGCGAGATGGCCAGTCTGTCCACAGCCGGCCAGTGTCCAATCCGTTCGTGAGCAGTTACAATTCAGATGATCTCTCCCCTAGAGGATTCCAGTTCAGGGAAGCAAGCGTCTGCCCCCGACTCAAAGCAGCCAGTGGTGGGGGCCCCACAGGACTCCAAATCCGGGGGTGGTCGGGGAGACGGGCCCAGGCGGCCCCACGGCGGCCAGGGAGGGCTGGAGGGCAGGCGGGCTGCAGGGCTCAGGCCTGGGGAGGGGTGCGGGAACACAGCCCGGCAGCGACCCCACCCGGAGTTCCGCGAGGGGCAGAGTGGCTCCCCCGGGGCCCTGGGCCCCAGACAGAACTGCTCCCCACTGGTCTTTTCTGCAGTGGGGTCCTCGAGCCAACAACTCAGGGGCAGGACACACATGAGAAATCCTGGCTCCAGCGAGGGCAGGGCGGCCCTGAGATCACAAAGCTGTGGGCAGCCGATGGAGTCTGGACGGTGGGCCCCTGAGCACCCGGGGCCGGTGCTGCCAGAAGCCTCACTTCCTCACGGACGGTGGGGCTGGCTCGGGGGGGTCCCCGTAGATTCCTGCAGGAGAGGGGGCAGGGTTATCGTCCTACTTCCTCTCTCCAGGGCGGCCACCAGGCCTGGCGCTTACCAGACAACCAGCCCAGACCTTCCGCGCCCGCCTCCGTGTACAGCCTCTTTGGGGATCAGACGGCTCCGTCTCTGAGCTGTGTCTCCCGGGTACAGTAAGAACTACCTCTGCCGATTCTGCAAAGGCCACAGCCATTCCTGCAATGAGGTCACCCTGCCGTGGTCATCTAACTCAGGCCCTGCAGCGGCTTCCCAGCCTACCCCAGACGGTTGGTGGGCCTCCCCCTGCCCCCATTCCCCGGCGGAATCTTCGTCTTTCCTTTTAATGATCATTTTATACATAAGGAGACATAAAACATACTTAGGGGCTTTCCTGGTGGCGCAAGGGTAAAGAACCTGCCCGCAATGCAGGAGACACAAGACACGTGGATTCAACCCCTGGGTCAGGAAGATCACCTGGAGAAGGGCATGGCAACCCACTCCAGTGTTCTTGCCTGGGAAAGCCCACGGACAGAGCAGCCCGGCGGGCTACCATCCATGGGGTCGCCAAGACCCGGACACGACTGAGCCACTGGGCGCGCGCGCACACACACACACACACACACACACACACATAAGCTGTGGGAGCATAGGTACTTAGGATATTTAGTCTAATCTTCCAGAGAGTGTTACTCTCATTTTGGAACCACTGGAAAGATAAATGCTCTGTGATGAGACCTCGTTTTCTGTAAGAAAGGAAAGAATGACCCCAAAACGCTGAGTGCTTCTTGAACAAGCAGAAGTGCTATAGCTCTTTAACGAAGCGCCGGGGCCCCTGAAATGGGGGCAGGTCCGTCTGGCAGCAAGGCGGCGCTGAGCCTGCACATTCTTGCCGTGTTTTCCGGACTCCTATCTGTATGTGATTGTTCTTGTAGAGGTTCTGACTGAGGTAAATAAAATTGTAGAACCTTGGAAACATACTATTATTACAGCACAGAGCTAAGGTGTACAGAACGGGAAATAACTCTCCAAGGGATAAATTACATGTGATGAGGGCTAAAAGAATACAGTTCCTATTTCAGGAAGTCTTCCCGGCGAAGGCAGGGATTTGGCAGTTTTAGCGTTGCCTTTCAAGACAATGCACGTACACCAAAAACATTATTCTTCACAGAGCGCCCCAGAGGCCACGGCTGTCACGTGGGTGCCAGCACTATTCCATTGCCTCCAATTCAACACAGATCTTCTTTATTAATTTTAATTTGTCATCAATAGCCTGACAGGCACTCTTTCGGCAAGAAATACTGCATTAACTGTTTCACTCACTGTGGCAGCTATTAAAACCGAGATGGTGATTAGCAGGAATGAGGTCAAACTGAATAATGTGAGTATAAGTCGCTACCAGCGAAATGTATAACACAGGAGGATTTATTATGTTCACTTGCTGAAATGTAATTTAAAAACAGGATATCACCACCTGCTATGCCAGCTAGTAGGGTGACTCAGATCATTCAAACATTTCCTGCTAATATGTTTATTTGCTTCTGGCATATATTACATTTACTGTTTTTCTAATAACTACAGTTAAAATAAATGTAATTGTTGCTATCTACTTCATGTAAACAGAGCAGGTAAATAAATCACCTAGTGCTTAGCTCAAACAATGCCAATTAGAATGATTTAATCATCAATATTGGCACCAGAAAAAATTAGTATTTATAACCTCCTTGCAAAGTGCTAAATCTAGTTCTCTTATTGAAGAGTCTGTTTGCTAAATAAGAATGTCCCTGGGATGCTGGAAGATTCGTCTCGGCTAGAAATAATGTGACATACCATTAAGCATGTAGAGAAGATGTTAAATGTTTTCAGATACTGGATGTTCATGCGTAAACTTAAGGGGTGCTCGTTTTGGAAAATCAGAAACCCAGGCACGCTGGTGAGAATCATTGCTGATCTGGGAATCACAACCCACAGCCCTTGGCTGCACTTTTCAAGGAATTTAGATGGACGTAGAGTTCTCTGGAATCATTTAAAACTGTGCTTATTGGGAGACTTTTTAAATCACGGGCTGAAAATAGAGAATGTGTATTTTAAGTATGCAGCATATTTTCAACATGCACATAATTGTTAAAATGAGTGCCCAGAAGATAAAGCAGCTAAAACTACCTTTCTCTGAGTACCATTGGTCAGTTAGTTGGGCATTATGTTCAGTCCTCACACTGAGTATCATTTAAGCCTCTTCAAGATCTTTCAGATCCCAGTCTGTCTCTGGTAAGGAGTAGCAGGTAGCACGGGGCAAACCCGCACAGTTAGTGTGAAGACCGTCTGGTGATGGAGGCAAAGAGCTTCTATGGTCACAAGGACCAGAGGCTTCCACCTGGATCCTCGAAAAGTCTGTTTCTAGGGCGGGCCTGCTGTAATATGCTTTCCTTACAACGTTCACATGGGGCATTTGTGGAAGAAAGAAGAGGGGAGGGAGGGAGCAAAAAGGAACAAAAGAGAGAAAGAAGGAAGGAAGGATGCTTTGCTTAGCCATCCTGGAGTGGGGTGGTAAAAGTCATGGCCTTGCCCAAAATTTTGTAAAGAAATAATAAAAGTCTCTTTTCAGAAATTTCAAGAATTTCTAAAGTACTGTTTAAAATCATTTTCTGTGTACCCTATAAAACAAAATAAACCCAAATGCAGGAGAACCTGCAATTAAACGTAGGGGTTTGCTTTGTCATGGGCAGAATTGTGTAAGCAGCACTTTGTCTTATTTTGAACCTTAAAAAAAAAAAACCCAGGCCAGTAAATATCGCCTTCTCCTCACGATCGCCATCCTAAGCGGGGGCCTCGGTATGAGTGCAAAGGGCACGTGTAAAGAAAAAGAGACACCAGAGATGGCTGTGCCTTCCTCTCTCCTATGAGCTGCCTCCGGCCTAAATCAGGCCATGCTACAGGAGGCAATTTTAGTATCAGAGCTGTCACGTTAGACAATCAGAGAACTTTCAGAAGAAAACCCATGGGTGCTAAATATTGCCGTCCTACTTGCAGAGCCCGGCCCTCACCCGGCACGTGGAAAATGGGCATCCTTGGTGCCAGGCAGCCCAGAGGCACGTGGTCATGCCACCCCACCGGCCGGCCGGGTGTGGTCGGGCTGTGAGATCCCCCTTCACCTAAGGCAGCAACTCCGGGCTTTCCGTATCAGCTCAATTTGAATCGATGATGGGAGCGATGTTTGTAAGTCGACATCAAGCCGCCCGGGGTCTGGCGTTTATTTGTGCTGTTGTTTTGGCAGGTAATCGAGGTACCCCTCTTATCCGACATGTCAGGTCTACAATCACACAAAGAGGACGGTGAATTCACTTTCACAGTTAGGCGAGCTGAATGCTATTACCCGTGTGTTTGTCACCGACCCGCAGATCCCAGCCTCTCATCTGCCATCCAGATGGATGCTACAAAGTGAAGAGTCGGGACATGCATTTCCCAGTAACTACCTGCTGCCAGCTATTATTTTAAGGATCCTGTGATTTTCTTTTATTTTGAGTAGAAAAAACAAGGCAGCTGTGGTAATAAAAAGGCATATCAACTAGTCACTTCCTGGCAGATTTGTCACTGGTGTGGATACAGTGGGGCCTTTTTTGTTGTTGTTGCTAGAAAATGTATACTCTCGAATATAATATTGTAAATCTAGAGTATGTGCTTCCAATAAAACCCTTTTTAGTGCCTTGCATACGGGTAAACAAAATAAAAATGTATGCATCTTGTAAAGAACTGCTGATACACATATATACACGTGCAGGATGCCACTGACAAATCACGGGTTGACAGCAGATATTTTACATCATGTGATTTGGGGGTGAAAATTATTATTTTTTTATTCCTAAATTCTGTTAAAGCAGTTCTGCAGCCATACATTATCAGAGCTCTCCAATAATGTTCCTAAATAGTTCCTAATGATGGACTGTATTTTAGGGCCTCCGAGGACCCAGGTTTAGCTATATAATTCCAAGTTGTGAATTAAATGGCAAAGCCAAGTGTTTCTGCTAATTCTTTCATTCGTGCCCATTGCATAATCTTATCCATCTTTTTCCTTGTTCAGTACAGAAAAAGATCCCCCAAAATCATCCATCCCCAATAAAACATCAGCCGTTCACTACATGTTTTCAGATTAATTAGGACAGAGATTTTGAGAGCATCACGCCTACCGCGATGCCTCCAAAACCGCCACGAGGTGTTTGCCAAGCCATGTAATCACAGACAATAGGTCTCTGCCTCACCCTTCGGGTTCTGAAAGCTGCACAGGACTCCCAAATCGGCTGCAACGCTGCAGCCCTGCACGCCAGTCTCCCCCCCCACCCCCAGGTGTGTCCAAGGGACCAGGGGACCCACAGTGAACAAAGAACCGGGCCAGGGGCTCCCACCCGGGCAGCACTGGACGATCGGAACAATGAACTCGTCCCAAACAAAGAGTGATTAATGACTCGGGGTGCGGCGACACCACGTCGGCCAGAGCGGCTGAGAGCGGGTCTTTGAAGGAGAAATGGAAAGAGTTTCAGGCTTTAAATATTTACCATTTCATTCATCAATGGAACATGTAAATGCAGAAACAAATATTCACCCGCTGCTTTCCTAGGACTCTCGTGTGCACGCTGTACGTACGCGGGAATGCCTGTTTATGGCCATCACCTCCATGAGGGATGGGAAACGGGACTCGGGGCCCAGAGATTCCTCAGAGAGGGTATCTGTTCTCACCCTGAATTTTATTTGGTACCAAGGTCTCTCGGAGGCTCCATGGGACCACGCAATCCACCCAGTGTCAAGGACCAAAGTTTCAGTCAGACTTTGCTGTTTCCAGTCAAAAAGTGGTCCATCTCCTGGTGAAAATGAACACTTTTGGAAAGCAAATAGCTGTTCCTACAGATTGAACATTCTGCATTTCAAAGTGTTTTAAAACATCACTGTGGTTACAATAGTTGTGAGGTGTTACTTTGTAAATGTCCTTTTCTTTTTGCTGCATGTGTGGCTGAGATGACCCTGACTTGGGGGCACCTGGGGGTGACAGGATGAGTCCCCCAGAGTCTCCTTCACATGGATGTCCTGAGCGCTGCTCTTTCCTTCTGAAGCGCCTGCACCTTCACGGCCCCGCGCGGCCCCGCAGGGTCTGCCCACACACTCCAGTGCGCTGCTCTTCCCACCTGGACCACGCCGCCTGCACTCGCAAGGCCCCGCGCGGCCCCGCGCGGCCCCACGGAGTCTGCCCACACACTCCCGCGTGCCTGGCAAGGCACTACCTCCAGTGAACTGCACTCGGTCACCCTGGTCTGTTTGCTGTGCGGGGCCCTAACCATAAGCGAGGCTTCCCTTTCTTGATCTAGTTTCAGCTCTTCACTCAAATGTCACTTCCTCCAGGAAGCCCTCCACGAGAGACTCCAGATCACATTCCCTCCTGTGCCCCTCTCTGCTCTTCCTGGGGTTTGCAGCTTCTGACTTCAAGATTCACCTTTGTCAGGGGGTGAGTTCCCAGAAAACAGAACCATCACTTTTCCCCTCCTCAGTACTAGTATGCAGCCAGCATAGAGCAAGCCCCATGATAGTTTGTTCCATGATGATGGTTGAGTGAATGATTATGACTTGCTTGGTTTTTATAAACAGGCAAGTAGGCAGTTCAGCCTAAAAGGTTTTACTAGCATTTCATTTTCAACCTGAATTATTTCGACTTTTTTAAATTGTGCTAGATTCTTTCACTCTAGCAGTCCAAATTCTCAGTGCTTAGGGCTATGTAAACTCAGCATCTAGGTTCAGAAAGATCAGTATAAGAATTACCAAGAAAACAAGAAAGCAGCATCATGCACGTGCACGCGCACGCGCGCGCACACACACACACACACACACACACACACACTTCTTGGCACATTAAGACTAGAAACCAGCAAGTGTAGGTTTTGTGACCATTCAGTGAAGGTATTTTCACTTTGCACTTGCTAATTACAGGCTCAAGTTTGGCCGAGCCTTCAGAAATTTCTGTTTGATTGAACTTTAGGGATTTTGTAGAAGGGAGAGCACCTGCTTCACCGCTGAGCATGCCACAGACAGGCCCATGTGTGTGGGAGTGTGTGTGTGTGTGTGTGTGTGTGTGTGTGTGTGTGCGCGCGCGTGCGTGCCTGTGTGCATGTGTGCGTGTAGAGAGAGGCTGAGAGGCGGGGGATTGTCCTGGTTGTTGTGGTTCTATTCGTGTGCATCAACAGATCTGTCGATTTCTCCCAGCATTGCCTTTCTGGGAGAAAGGCCAATTTTCTTCATTTTTAAAATATCATAACATTTGTGTTAGCAAAACCTACTATAAATGCCATCAGCTACAGAATTCCAGTTTAATTTCTATTTTGAGTTTATCAAAATTTGAGAAAAATATCTTTGGGGACTACAATTATCTGTGCTTAGCCTCAGCCCACAAATAAACAGAAACCAACTGCTCCCTGAGCCGGGAATGATCCCGGAGAGTCCCTCCTAAGTGTAGACGCGCCACCGAAGCGAGAGCTGGAGCCAGCCCCACAGCGTAGTCGAAGCACCGCACACCCATTCCTGACCACGCCGTGTGGGCCCGCATACTGAATCTGCAGAAACCATATTAGAAGGATACACCATCTTTATGAAAAAGCAAACACTGATTCCTCACACTGATTCTTACCTAAGTGTGGATCACTTCTTGTTTGTGCCTTTTAACAACATAACTAAACAAATAAAAGCACTTATGTCCCTAAGACCCAGACATGAGAAACCATACTGTTTTAATATTTTAATATTTGAGGCTGCCTAATGCATTAGCAATGGTTAAACCTACTGAAACTCCCGGTGACGATGCCAGTTATTCTAGGATCTAATTTTCTCCTCTGGTTTCATTTAAAATAATCATCTTTGTCAACAGCTATTCTTTATTGTTTTTATAATCTTACTTCTTGGATATAAATGGATATCTGTAGTTCCAAAAGCTGTATTTAAGTGTCTTAAAAGGCCATTCAAAAATATAGTTGGGAGATCAGTCCTGGCTATTCATTGGAAGGACTAATGTTGAAACTGAAACTCCAATACTTTGGCCACCTGATGTGAAGAGCTGACTCATTGGAAAAGACCGTGATGTTGGGAAAGATTGAGGATAGAAGGAGAAGGGGATGACAGAGGATGAGATGGTTGGATGGCATCACTGACTCAATGGACATGGGTTTGGGTGGACTCTGGGAGTTGGTGATGGACAGGGAGGCCTGGCGTGCTGCGGTTCATGGGGTCACCAAGAGTCAGACATGACTGAGCAACCGAACTGAACTGAACTGAAACTAATTAAACTTGAGAGTATTTTTCATTTTTCTTTTTTAAACAACTTTTAAGTTTTTTCTATTTGCAATTATTACAGTATACTGGGTGTGTTTTCCATGTTGTACAATATATCCCTGAGCCTTACACTCAGTCATTTGTGCCTTCCCTTCCCCCACCTCTGCATTGCCCCTCCCCTACACACACTGGTATCCACTAGCTTGTCCCCTGCATCTGTGAGTCTATGACTTCTTTGTTATATTCATAAGTTTGTTGTATTTTTTTAGACTCCATATATAAGTGACATCACACAGTATTTTTCTTTCTCTGTCTGACTCCTTTCATGGAGCACGATAACCTCCAAGTCCATCTGTGTTGTTGCAAATGGCAAAATTTAATCCTTCTTTATGGCTGAGTAGTATGGCATCATGTATATAGTACATATATATATCACATATCATATATATATATACACACAACATCTTTTTTATCCACTTATCTGTTGATAGACGCCTAGGTGGCTTCCATATCTTGGCTATCACAAATAATGCTGCTATGAATATTAGGATGCCTTAAACTTAGGTTATACTTCAGACTCACCATCTGCAATATCAATATTTATTAGTACTGGTAAAATCACCAGCAGACTTGACAGCACGCGTGCCATCGTCAGGATGACCAGCAGCCCCTGCCTTTCCGATCAAAAGCAGCGTCCAGGGTGAGAGGAACCTGTGCCCAGCTGCTTCCTGGCTCCTTGGCCCTTAAAATGCTCTTGGCCGGTGCCCTCCCCTCAGGGGAAGAGACTGGGGGCACACTGGATCAGAGCATTGCCTTAAGTTTGTTCTGAAGAAGATGAAGAAGAAACCACAATAACCAAGCCTTCACCAGACTGTGATATGGGAGCCCTGTGTATTCCTCCTCAGTGCTAGATGGGCAGCAACTGGGGTGCCTGCAATTCAGGTGCTGGTGACGTGTGATGGAGGGATCACCTCACCCGGGCAGGGCGAGCCCTGCACGGCCCCAGCCAAAGTCAGGTCTTCTAACCTCCTCCCCGTGTTATCGCAGGGCTTCCCAGGAGGTGCTAGTGGCAAGGAGCTCACCTGCCAATGCAGGATGCCTAAGAGATGCAGTGGGTTCAATCCCTGGGTCGGGAAGATCCCCTGGAGAAGGTGATGGCAACCCACTCCAGTCTTCTTACCTGGAGAATCCCAAGGACAGAGGAGCCTGGCAGGCTATAGTCCATGGGGTCGCACAGAGTCGGGCATGACTAAGCACGCATGCACAGCGGGAACTTTGAACAAGCGGTACAGTTTTCCAGGGTGCAGTTCTCATCATGGCCTCCTAGATAAACATTTCAAGGACCAAGCTGTCACGTAACCCGCCATTCTCGGCAACAAGGACACTGATAATAGAAATAGCTCTCAGCAGCCGGATGCTCAGCAGGTACTCTACATGGTAGAAATTATTGGCAAACTGTCTTGGTTTCTCATGAAATCCCCACAATCAATACAAGCGGGTATCCTCTTTCCTCATTTCACAGATAAAGAAATGGAGAGCCAAAGAATTTGAGTAACTTGTCCCAGGAGAGGAGTAGGAAGTAAGCGAGCCGCTTTCGGACCCAGTCCCGTCACTGCAGCAGGCAGCGCCCCGTCCCCTCCCTGTGTGACATTCTCAGGCTGTCCTGAGAAGCATGGTTTCCACGACAAAGTCAGTCTGCCATCCGTCCAGCAGCTCTTGGCAGAGGGCCTCCTCCTACCAACCTGCGACCGCTCAGGAAGCCCAATCAGGGATCCCGGCCCTCCCATCCAAGACGCGATTCCTGGCTTTAGACTTGGCCTTGGAGAATTCCGAACTTGACATTTTAACGCCTCTCCTCCAGTCTGCAACTGACCAGTCATTTCCTAGTGTTTACTATTCCTCACACACCACCTTAAGGAGTAAGAAAACCTTCTTGCTCAATGGATATAGAATACAGAGAGGGAGAGAAAAGTCTTTGAAAGCAAAGCGTTGATCATTTGCCATGAAGCAAGTCTGTTAGTGGATTAAAGCATATTCCCCGGGCCTTTAAAGACATCTACTAGTAATTTACAGAAATTATGAGAGCTGAGAGGCTGGTTGTTTTTAGAATTCAGAGCTCAGACTGTGGCCTTCCACCAGACAACGCTCCAAGCCAGCCTCTCTGGGAATTCACATCAAACCCCAGCTCATAATTTCTGTAATGACATATACTTGGACACTGATTAGCTACCTATCAGCTCTGTAATAAAGGCGGCGTAACCCCTAGTTTATCATTCATTTATCTAAAGTCATTTTGAATAATATCACAAGATTGTAATGCAATCATTATGCCGTACAGCGGTCCCGGGCCTGCACACAGGGCCGGCGGGGTCACAGCCCTGGCAGGGTTCACACCGCTTAATTTACTCACTTCTTACACATTTGTAAAATTGGAGTCAACAGCGCACTAGCGGAGTTGGACCCGCGCGCGACGCTTACGCAAATTGATAATAAGATGTTCGACAGGAAGTAGAGGGAGACCTAATAACAGTCATAACAATCTTCTCTGAGAGCCGGCTGGCACTTGAGTTTGAAACAAGTCATTCAGTGCTCAATGACTAGCGCAGATTTCCTTTGACTCCGCTCGACCCGGAGGGTTTATCGACAACCACTTTGCTGCCGTGAAGCGCTCTATTAGGGAAGTGTGTCTTCAGGCCACGGGAGGGTGCCGGCAGGAGAGTCAATTCCTCCAGACAAGGGCTTGGTGGGAAGACTCCGGCGGGGCGGCCCCGGCAGGGAGAGACGCAGTGGAGAGCTGGGAAGACGGAGAGCCAGCTCCAGGGAGGCCCGGCTGGTGGGGGCAGAGTGGGGGCCCCTCACAAACCCTGGGAAGGCAGACAGGAGGCAGTGGAGGGATGGGATGAGGGAATCGGGAATCAGGGTTCTGTTTAAGGGGGACTGTTGCATTCATCTGTGTCCACCTTTCCCGTCAGTTCTCAGGGGTTTTCAACGGCACTGACTAAATATCAGGTTACCGTGTGAGCTCCATGTGCCTCTCCCCAGAGTCACGGCCACAGCTTGTCCTCTGCGGGAATAGGGGTGTGGGGTTCAGGGGGAAGCGGCCTTAACATCCCTGCCCCTCTGTACTTGACTGTGTCCCCAGAGGCTAAGGACCAACACAGCCCTTTTTGCAGCGAGTCCCAGCCCAGGCCTGAAAACTGCAGTGAAGGGGAAAGGACCAGTTTGGAAATAAACACAGCAAGACCAGCTGACCGTAGCAAAAAAATTTGTGAGTCTCCCATGAACAGCTCCATGTGAATAACGCATGATGCCAAATGACACAGACGAAACCAATCCAGCACTCCAGCAAAGTCAGAGGCGGAAGCATCAGGCCGTGTTCCGTGCAGGGTCCCTACCGCCCCTCCACGCCCTGAGCCAGCCCAGCAGGCAGCTCCACAAACCTTGGTGGCCCCGACAGAGCAGGGGAGTCCAGCCACAACCCAGCCAGAGATGTTTCTGGTCCCTGTCCAGCGAGGAGGGGCGGCTGCGAAGGTCCAGAAGACCCCAGCGGCTGCAGCCGCAGCAGCGGAACTCGGCAGCAGGTGCTGCGTCCCGGAAGTGGCCACTCTGGCTCTGGGGAGAGAGGCAGCGTCACCAAGTACGCAGACCAGGCCACTTCCTGCAGCTGACCTTGATCCCGGAGGGCCTGTTTCAGACGTGTGCCTGGGGGTGACCGTGGCATGTGCCGCTCGGTGTCCCGGGTGGACGACGCACACAGCATTCTGACCAGAGGGCTCGGCTCCATTAAGACCTCACAAATGCTTTCTTGCTAATAACTGTTACTGGAAATACAGCTACTCTGAGCTCCAAAGGGCAAAGCGCTTTCTCGTCAAATTTCCTCCACATCAGGCATCTCAGCTGAGATATTTTTTTTCTATTCTGATTCTCAAGACTCTTGAAATTAAATTCAGAGTGTGCATGTGCAGGCATATATATATACATATATATGTATGTCATATATTTATACATGTAATATATACATATTTATTTATGTGTATAAACACACACATAGGGGCTTCCCAGGTAAAGCATCTGCATGTCTGTACAGGAGATGTAAGAGATGCAGATTCAGTCCCTGGGTCGGGAAGATCCCCTGGAGAAGGGAATGATAACCCACTCCCTCCAGCATTCTCGCCTGGAGAATCCCATAGACAGAGGAGCCGGGCAGGCTGTAGTCCACAGGGTCACAACAGAGTTGGACATGACTGAACATGCGCATGCATACACGCACAGACAGATACACACATATGTATGCACGCATGTGTGGTGTGTTTATACACATATACACATTTTCCCTAGATTCTGTCAGAGTCGCAGCAGGGTCTGCAAAGCCCGGGAGGAGAACACGCGGAGTTGGCTTGTTGCTTCCCTCAAGCCTGAGGTAATCATCTTACTCCATCTTGCCCCACCATTCAGTCTAAGCCTGGCAATTTCCTAGAAAGGCAGGCTTGTCAGCTGAGAAATGGTCAAACAGAGCCGGGGGGAGGGAGAGGGGAGCTCTCTGCTCTTGCAGACACCAGGGGAGGCAGGTTCCCACCCGGGCCGGAATTTGATGTAAGCCGTCTGGGGCAGCTTTAAGACAGGTTGGCCCCCAGGCGAATGCGTTCCTGTGGACTCACTGCCAGAGAGGAATCCGTAACAGAAGTTTTCCCAGAGGTAGCAAAGAGCCAGGAGGTGGGCCGCACTGTCCACGGGAGCCGGACCCTGGGAAACACAGACACTTGTGGCTTTCCAAAGGATGGAATTCCTCATAAGGTGCCAACTGTGTGAACACGCGCTGTATGTCTGCGCTAGAGACTGTCCCTCAGGTTTGAAGAAATCAAAGCCATGGGAAACATGATCAGATCTTTGCTTCTCTATCATTCCAGAGAAACAGGAATGCAAGCAAACATACAGGTCACCTGTGAGCCCTGACCTTCCACCTCCCTGCAGAGAAAAGCTTCTTCCTCTTCTTTCCAAGGCTCAGTCTTCAGCAACGGTCCCCACCACAGGAACTAACACACCAACTGTGTTCTGTGCCAGTATCTAAGCTTTCCGCTTGATTTCACGTCCTTAAGATCACCAAAACACAAAACATAATCATTTATCTTTTCCTCTGTTGTTCAAGATAATGAAATGAATCGAGGATCAAAGAAATATAAAATACAATTGTACCCCAAACCTCAATAAAATGAGAGGGAAGCCTGTCCCTTCATTTTATTGGAAGAATTAAAGGGTTGACACTAGGTAAGAAAGATGTAAAAACAGTGATGATAGTGGAGGATCTGTCAGATCAGATGTCAAAATATACTCTAAAGCTACAGGCATTAGAATGTAGTGATGTTTTCCCAGGAGAATCAACTGCATCAGTGGACTAGAGTTCAAAAACATGTACGTATCACATGCTTATTTGTGTAAAGTTATAAAGTGGCATTTCAAAATACACTCTTTAATAAATGTTACTGGGAAGTTGGCTATCTATTTGAACAAAAACATTTAGAACCTTTATATAATTCATTGTTTAACTCCTAATGCTAAAAAGATTTGAATATTTGCAAATATAAAAATAATCAGATGAACATTTGTATATTGTGAGAATAAGAACAGCTTTTGCAAATGCAATAACCAAGAAGACAAAGATTGGCAGATTTAATAGACAAAGAGATTAGGAGTCAGCCTGTGCAAAGAAGACCTATGAGTCAATCAGAAAAAGACAAACAATTCAATAGACAAATGTGCAAAATACTTAAACAGCCTCTTCACAAACGAGAAAAATCCAAAAGCCAATTAAACATCAGAAGAAACGCCTTTTCACATGAATACTGCAGGAAATAGAAATTAAAACTAAAATGAGAAGCCACACTGTCCAGATTAGCTAGAACCTACAAGTCTGACAGTATCAAATATTGGTAGAGATTTGTAAAGCAAGATAACACATACCCCAGGTTCAAGTATAACTGATACAGTCACACAGGAAGGCAAGGGTATCAGGACCTATGAAACCTAAGAATGCAATATTCTACAACCAAGAAATTCCATATCTAAGTATATGCCTGGAGAAATTCTTAAAGATGGGAGCAAAACTTATCACATGGTTACTTGCAATAGTCACAACTGGGAAAAACCCAAACATTCATCAATCAGTAAGTTTTAAAAAACAAACTATGGGGACTTCTAAGGTGGTCCAGTGACTAATCTCAAGTGCCCACAACTAAAATCAGAACAGTCAAATAAATAAAATAAAATATGTGTAGTTATATGGTAGAAAGTGAAGAGGAACTAAAGAGCTTCTTGATGAAGGTGAAAGAGGGGAGTGAAAAAGCTGGCTTAAAACACAATATTCAAAAAACAAAGATCAGGGCCTAGGTCCCATCACTTCATGACAAAGAGACAGGGGAAAAAATGGAAACAGTGGCAGACCTTATTTTCTTGGGCTCCAAAATCACCGCAGTTGCTGACTAAAACCATGAAATTAAAAGACACTTGCTCCTTGGAAGAAAAGCTTTGACAAACCTAGAGAGCATATTAAAGAGCAGAGACATCATTTTACCAACAAAGGTCTGTATAGCCAAAGCTATGGTTTTCCAGTCGTTATCTATGGATATGAGGGTTGGGGAGAAGGCAATGGCAACCCATTCTAGTACCCTTGCCTGGAAAATCCCATGGACATGGGTGGAAGTGCCTGGTAGGCTACAGTCCATGGGGTCATGAAGAGTTGGACACAACTGAGCAACTTCACTTTTACTTCTCACTTTCATGCATTGAAGAGGGAAATGGCAACCCACTCCAGTATTCTTGCCTGGAGAATCCCAGGGACAGAGGAGCCTAGTGGGCTGCCATCTATGGGGTCGCACAGAGTCAAACACAACTGACTCAACTTAGCAGCAGCAGCAGCGTGAGGGTTGGACCATAAAGAAAGCTGAGCGCCAAAGAGTTGATGCTTTTGAACTGTGGTGCTTTTGAACTGTGGGACTCTTGAGAGTCCCTTGGACTGTAAGGATATCCAAACAGTCCATCCAAAAGGAGATGAACCCTGAATATTCATCAGAAGGACTGATGCTGAAGCCGAAGCTCCAATACTTTGGCCACCTGATTTGAAGAGCTGATTTATTAGAAAAGACCCTGATGCTGGGAAAGATTGAGGGCAGGAGGAGAAGGGGGTGACAGGGGATGAGAAGGTTGGTTGGATGGCATCATTGACTCATTGGATATGAGTTTGAGCAAACTCCAGGAGACAGTGAAGGACAGGGAAGCCTGGCATGCTGCATGCAGTCCATGGGGTCACAAAGAGTTGGACACAACTTAGCAACTGAACAACAACAATATAGTTACATACCAATGTGGATACATCTCGAAATGATACTGAGAGAACTTCCCTGGTGGTCCAGTGGTTAAGAATCCCCCTACAGCAAACACAGGTTCAGTCCCTGAGCCAGGAAGATCCCACGTAAGCCTGTGTACCACAGCTACTGAAGCCCGCACACTCTAGAGCCCGTCAAGAGAAGCCACGGCAATGAGAAGCCTGCACACTGCAACTAGAGAAAGCCAAAACTCAAAAAAGAAAACTAAATAAGAGAATTTATTTTTTTTTAATGATGGTGAGTTTAGATAAGTTACCAAATAAGCTTACAATGCCATTCATGAAATTTTAAATGCACGCAAAATACCAGATACTTTTTATAATTATCCATTTTTCCAAGTAAAATATTTATTATGACCTCATAAGACCCATTGTAGTAATTACATACATGTAAGGAGGTAAATAACCTGGGTATGAGCGACAAAAAGATCAGTGCTGTGTTTATGCTTTCATTTTATGTATAAAATTTTTTAAATTTGAAGTAAATATGTTAAAATTTTATTTCTTGATATTTTCTTAAATTATTCTTTGTACTTCTCTATACTTTTTTAGATTTTCCATAACTAAAAAATATCAGCTCTAATATTTTATTTCCATTGTTAAACTAAATAAACTCACACGTTGCTGTTTTACCATTCCTTAAGAGTACTAAATTTGGCTACATAAAAAAGTAAAAATTTTGTACAGAAAAAAAACCCATGAACAAATAAAATTCACCAACAACAAGTGAAGAAATTACCTTTGCAACGTACATTGGGAAGAGTATTCTTAATATATAAAGATTACATTCAGACCAATCAGAAAAAGACATTGCACTAGAAAACTAGGCATAAAGAAGAGTAACGCAAAGGCTAACATTTGTTTGCATTAGAGGAGTCCCGCCTCCGCAGGCAGCCCAGTGAGCATCTGGATTCCAGAGCACAGCCCACCCGGCTCTGTTGTCCCAGATCAAAACTCTGGGTGATTCTGTCAACCAGGTCAAACTCAAGGAGAAACAGAAGACCACCTAGTCCCCCTCACTAAAAAACTAACAGAGGAAGCGGGAGAACGGGGAAGAAGGAGGATCTGTTTCAGGACTTGCAAGGAAATATGCATCTCAGTCAGAACCCATAATAAAACTCAGTTTCAACTGGTTTAGAAGAATTCTTGCCTCACATGCCTAAAAAGACTAGAGTTGGCCAGATCCATGAATAACTTTCATCCTGGAGCCTGGCTCCATCTTTTTGTCTTTCTCCCAGCCCTGTCCCTCTAATTAATCTTCTCTGCCTGTCTAGCTTGCCTCATGGCAGCAAAATGGCTGCAAAGGACCCAGGCCTCTCATCTTCATTTGGCATAGCCCACGGCCCAGAATTTCCAACAAATGTTTGGAGAGTTTCAACAGA